AGAAAATCGCTCATAGTGAGCTCCATTCTGCAATGTATTAAAAACTCCTCACATGGTAATATCACATGACCTAAGATACAGGGGTGTGCTCCTCCTCCACTCTCCGCCCACTTCCAGGTCTTGACTGACACAATGGTCTCACTTCCTCTAGCCCCGCCCAACGCGTTTCGTCACAGCAGACGTCATCGGGATCTTTTTAGTTTTGGGTAGAGAGCAAGATGACGTCCTCTGCCAGGCTTATGTGTGCGTCACTGCCAGAGAGAGTCACCATTCCTGTCCTGACCCCCCCATTCCTACCTGACACCCCCAATTCCTGTCCTGACCCCCCCATTCCTACCTACCTGGCCCCCCCCCCCTACTGTCCTCAGTACCACCATTACTGACCTAACACCCTCCATTACTATCTTGACCTCCCCATTCCTGTCCTGACCCCCCCATTGCTATCCTGACCCCCCCATTGCTGTCCTGACCCCCCCATTCCTGTCCTGACCTTCCATTGCTGTTCTGACCCCCCCATTCCTGTCCTGACCCCCCCATTCCTGTCCTGACCCCCCCATTACTGTCCTGACCTCCCCATTACTGTCCTGACCCCCCCATTCCTGTCCTGACCCCCCCCATTATTCCTGTCCTGACCCCCCCATTCCTGTCCTGACCCCCCCATTCCTGTCCTGACTCCCCATTACTGTCCTGACCTCCCCATTACTGTCCTGACTCCCCATTACTGTCCTGACCCCCCCATTCCTGTCCTGACCCCCCCATTCCTGTCCTGACCTCCCCATTACTGTCCTGACCCCCCTATTCCTGTCCTGACCTCCCCATTACTGTCCTGACTCCCCCATTCCTGTCCTGACCCCCCCCATTCCTGTCCTGACCTCCCCCATTACTGTCCTGACCCCCCCCATTGCTGTCCTGACCCCCTCAATCACTGTCCTGAGCCCCCCCCCCCTCCATTACTGTCCTCAGTCCCACCACTACTATCTTCAATTCAACCATTACTGTCCTGAGCTCCTCTCTAAATGTCTTGGCCCCCCCCCCCCCCCCCCATTACTGTCCTGATGTTTCCCCATTCATTGCCATACAGAACAATGTATCTGCTGCGTGCGTTCTGTGCGCTGCGTGTGATGGAGCCAGAAAGGCAGCGCAGTGTAGATTGTACACAAAATCTGTCCTGTTGGTGCGATCAGAGAGAGCCGGGACTCCGGGGGACCGAGATCTGACATGACCAGGGAGACCGTCCCGGATACGTCCTGATATACTACAGCCGCAACTATATACATTGTACACAATCATCATCATCGCATCATCATCATCACCACACCATCATCATCGCCATCATCATCATCACCACCATCACCATCATCATCACACATCCCCATCATCACCATCATCATCACCATCATCATCATCACCACCCATCACCATCATCATCACCGCAATTCATCATCACCACATCATCACCGCCATCATCATCATCGCCATCATCATCATCACCACACCATCATCATCACCACAATCATCATCAACACATCATCACCGCCACCATCATCATCGCCATCATCACCACCACCACCATCATCATCACCATCATCACCACCATCATCGCCATCATCATCATCACATCACCATCATCACCGCCACCATCATCATCGCCATCATCATCCACCATCATCACCGCCACCATCATCATCATCGCCCATCATCATCATCACCACAATCATCACCGCCACCATCATCATCGCCATCATCACCGCCACCATCATCATCATCGCCATCTTCACCACCCACATCATCATCATCCCCATCATCATCGCCCATCATCATCACCACCACCATCATCATCATCGCCATCATCACCACCACCACCATCATCATCATCATCGCCATCATCATCATCGCCATCATCATCATCGTCATCATCACCATCGTCATCATCATCATCACCACCACCACCACCATCATCACCGCCACCATCATCATCATCATCGCCATCATCACCACCACCATCATCATCGCCATCATCACCACCACCATCATCATCATCATCATCATCATCCATCATCATCATCACCACCATCACCATCATCATCACCACAAATCATCACCGCCACCATCATCATCATCGCCATCATCATCATCGCCATCATCATCATCATCACCATCATCATCATCGCCACCATCATCGCCATCATCACCACCACCATCATCATCGCCATCATCATCACCGCCATCATCACCACCACCATCATCATCGCCATCATCATCGCCACCATCATCATCGCCATCATTATCGCCATCATCACCACCACCATCATCATCATCATCATCATCATCATCATCATCACCACCACCATCATCATCATCGTCACTATCACCATCATCGTCATCACCACCACCGTCATCATCACCACCATCGTCACCACCATCATCATCACCACCACCACCATCATCATCATCACCACCACCACCATCATCACCACCATCATCACCACCGTCATCATCACCGTCACCATCATCATCACCACCATCATCACCATCCACCCACCATCATCATCGTCACCATCATCATCATCACCACCGTCATCATCATCACCACCGTCATCATCACACCACCGTCATCATCATCACCACCGTCATCATCATCACCATCATCATCATCACCGTCACCATCATCATCACCGTCACCATCATCATCACCACCACCATCGTCACCATCATCATCACCACCGTCATCATCATCACCACCGTCATCATCATCACCACCGTCATCATCATCACCACCATCATCATCACCACCACCATCATCATCATCACCACCATCATCACCGTTATCATCACCACCGTCATCATCATCACCACCATCATCATCACCGTCACCATCATCATCATCGTCACCGTCATCATCATCACCACCATCATCATCACCACCGTCATCATCACCACCGTCATCATCACCACCGTCATCATCACCACCGTCATCATCACCACCATCATCACCGTTATCATCACCACCGTCATCATCACCATCATCATCGTTATCATCACCACCGTCATCATCACCCATCATCATCATCACCGTCACCACCATCATCGTCACCATCATCATCATCACCGTCATCATCATCACCGTCATCATCATCATCACCACCATCATCATCACCATCATCATCACCACCGTCATCATCATCACTATCACCATCACCATCACCACCACTATCACCGTCATCATCACCACCATCATCGTCATCACCACCTGTCACCATCATCATCACCACCACTATCACCACCATCGTCATCACCATCATCACCACCGTCATCATCATCATCATCACTATCACCACCATCGTCATCACCATCATCATCAATCACAGCCACCGGAAGAGAATACAGGCAGATCGCAGGGTGTCATTGTTCTGGGACCCCCAAGTGTCAGTGTTGGTGAGTGGGAGGAGTTACTTATGGGGCGATTCTCACCTCTCAGGTAGTAGGCGGAGCAGTGTGGGTGGGCGGAGTTGGGCAGGAGGTGTTTCTCACCTCTCAGGTAGTAGGCGGGGCAGTGTGGGTGGGCGGAGCTGGGCAGGAGGTGTTTCTCACCTCTCAGGTACTAGGCGGGGCAGTGTGGGTGGGCGGAGTTGGGGACAGCAGGCAGTTCTCTCACCTCTGGGCAGGTAGTAGTAGGGGGCAGTGTGGGTGGGCAGAGTTGGGCAGGGGGTGGGTCTTACCTCTCAGATAATAGGTTGGGCAGTGTGGGGGGCAGAGTCGAAGTCGGGGGGGCGGATCTCACCTATCAATAGGTGGGTAGTGTGGTTTGGTGGAGTCTCAAGTAGTAGGCGGGGCAGTGTGGGTAGGGGGGTGGAGTTGGACAGGGGGTGGTTCTCACCTCTCAGGTAGTAGGCGGGGCAGTATTGGGTGGACGAAGTCGGGTAGGGGGTGGTTCTCACATCTCAGGTATTAGGAGGGGCAGTGTGGTGGGTGGGGTCAGGTAGGGGCAGATCTCCCCTCTCAGGTAGTAGGCAGGTCAGGGGGGTGGATCTCACCTCTCAGGCAGTAGGCAGGTCAGGGGGCGGATCTGACCTCTCAGGTAGTAGGCGGGGCAGTGTGGGTAGGGTGCGGATCTCACTGCTCAGGTAGTAGGCAGGTCAGGGGGGCGGATCTCACCTCTCAGGCAGTAGGCAGGTCAGGGGGCGGATCTGACCTCTCAGGTAGTAGGCAGGTCAGGGGGGCGGATCTCACCTCTCAGGTAGTAGGTCAGGGGGGGCAGTGTGAGGTAGGGGGCGGGTCTCACCTCTCAGGTAGGGGGCAGGTCTCACCTCTCAGGAAGTAGACGGGTCAGGGGGGCGGATCTCACCTCTCAGGCATAGACGGGCAGGTCAGGGGGGCGGATCTGACCTCTCAGGTAGTAGGCAGGTCAGGGGGGTGGATCTCACCTCTCAGGTAGTAGGTCAGGGCGGGGCAGTGTGGGTAGGGGGCAGATCTCACCTCTCAGGTAGTAGGTGGGGGGGGGTCTCACCTCTCAGGTAGTAGGCAGGTCAGGGGGCGGTCTCAACTCTTAGGTAGTAGGCGGGTCAGGGGGGCGGATCTCACCTCTCAGGTAGTAGGTGGTCAGGGGGGCGGTCTCAACTCTCAGGTAGTAGGCGGGTCAGGGGGGCGGTCTCAACTCTCAGGTAGGAGGCTGGGCAGGGGGGGGGCGGGTCTCACCTCAGTAGGAGGCGGGGCAGTGTAGGAGGTAGGGGGTGGGTCTCACCTCAGGAAGGAGGGGCAGTGTGAGGTAGGGGGTGGGTCTCACCTCAGGAAGGAGGGGCAGTGTGAGGTAGGGGGCGGGTCTCACCTCAGGTAGGAGGCGGGGCAGTGTGAGGTAGGGGGGCGGGTCTCACTTCAGGTAGGAGGCGGGGCAGTGTGAGGCAGGGGGCGGGTCTCACCTCAGGTAGGAGGGGCAGTGTGAGGCAGGGGGTGGGTCTCACCTCAGGTAGGTGGGGCAGTGTGAGGCAGGGGGCGGGTCTCACCTCTCAGGTAGTAGGCGGGGCAGCCGTCCTCCCGCAGTCGGGCCAATAGGAGGCCGAGGACGGAGGAGGGGGCGGGCTCCTCGCGGGTGGTGTCATCATACAGCAGGAGGTTCCGGTGTTCCAGGCGGCGGGGGGCGGGAAGGACGGAGCGGGCGGACAGGGTTCCTCTCCGGAGGCGGCGGAGGAGAAGGCCGGGGAGGGACAGGCTGAGGGCGGACTCGATGTGGCCGGCCTGGTATCGCTCGTGTGGCCGACAGTCCAGGAGGAGGAGGCCGGAGCCGGACTCCAGCTCAGCCTGCAGCCAGCCGCTGCTCTTCCCGGGGGGATCCGCCGCCATCAGCCGCTCCGACACCCTCCGGGACCTGCGTGTGAGGGGGAGGAGCTACACACCCCGCCACACCCACCTCCCCGACCTGTCTTCCCAGGGTGGGAGGAGCCACACGGCGTCAGCTCACCAAATAGAAACTGACGGCGGGATCCGCCCCCTAAGAGGAGGAGCTACAGCGCTTCCCCCTAACTTGCATCAACGTCTGGTAACCACACCCCCCGCGGGGAGGAGCCGCCTGTCACACCCACTGCCCTCAGCGCAGATGTGAATGGAGGGGCATGGAGCGCGCATGTCGAGGAAACTCGGGAGCGCGCCTGTCACAGATATCAATGGGGAGGCCCGGGAGCGCGCTCCGTGCCCGCAGCCAGAACACGTGGTACAGGAAGAATGAGGGGGAAAGGTCTGCATTGCGTGTCAGATGGAGAAACCAGAAGAATTCCGTGTGAGGGAAGTGTGAGCAGAAGAGCCATCACACACAATGCAGTCATGGCCTCCCCACCCGGCCAATATACCTGAGAAATGGCTCAGCAGCCAGGGGCGGACAGACAATTCGGGAACTCGGGCCCTCCTAGGGGGCCCCATGAGATGCCCCTGGTACCTTTCATATACTTTTTTAGGTGTGGTTTGATTGTGGGTGAGGACACAGGGGCCCCATGATCCCCTATTGCCCCGGGGGCCCCATGAGTTGTCAGTCCGCCCCTGATCAGCACCGTCACACTTTGAATGACAATTGCGCGGTCATGCAACACTGCCCATATGAACTTTTTAGCATTCTTTTGAGACAGATAAAACTTTTGGTGGTATTTCCTCACCGCTGGGATTTTTTTTTTTTTTTTGCGATATAAATGAAAAAGTTTTTTTTTAAAAAGTTTCTTATAAAATGTTGCAAATAAATAATCTTTCTTCATCAGTCTTGGCCAAAATGTATTCATCTATCTTTTTAGTAAAAAAAAAAAAAAAACCAAATTAGTTTACAACCAAAATTTATAATTTTTCAAATGTTTTATTTTTTTTTTTTACACAGCACTACTTGTGGGGGGTGATGAAGATTTTTGTTTCCTTTTTTTACACCGATTGCTTTTATACCCCTAAAGGCTGTAAGAGGAATCATTTCTATCTGGCCACATTCCTGCAGCCATTGAGAAATACTGTGTGAGCTGTGATTGGTCACAGCTTGTCACATGGTACAAGGCTGTTGTGAATGGCCCTGTACCATGTGACCTCTGTGATCATTCACAGATTTCACACGTAGTAAGCAATGATGTCAGAAGTGACATCTTGTGTACAGGGGCGGACTGAGAACTCATGGGCCCCACCGGGCAATAGGGGATCATGGGGCCCGTGTCCTTGCCCACGCTCAAAAAAGCCTATGAAAGGTACCAGGGGCATCTCCTGGGGTCCCCTACTTACCCTGGGCCCTCGGGCAGTGCCAGAGTGCTCGAATGGTCAGTCCACCCCTGCTTGTGTACTACTCTTCATGTGATCACCGATTGGCCAATCAGTGATCACATGATCGGGACCTCGCACAGCGATCTGTGTACCAATTGTGGTGCCGCGCACTCCCAGGGAGTGCACACAGGCAATGGATGGGGGGGGGGGGGGGGGGGGAGATTTAGAAATGCCCCCCCCCAGCATCGGCAGCACTCCCATCCGGCCGTTTGTCAACATGGGCCGGACAGGAAGAGGTCAAAACGTTTCTGCTCACCATTTTGGATAGAGTAAGGGAGTCTTTTCACGGTTTGTGTCCCATTGGGGAGATTTACCTTTACTTCCTGTCCCTAAGCCAAAACAGGAAGTGAGGAAATCCCTCCAAAATGAGGGAATCCCAGAACTAATGTCCCCATTGGAGGATTTCCCCTCTAGTTCTGGGGAGAATCCAAAATTTGAGATTTTCTTTCACTTGGAGATGACGGTAAACAGGACAAAGAGAGAAGGGTGGGGGTGGGGTGGATCTCCTGAACGGGGACACAGACAGCAATAAAGACCAGACAGGGGGTCTCATCCATCTCAAGCCACTAAACTGAAAACGTTTTGCCTTTAGTTATACTTTATTACGATAAAGGGACCGATAGCCCCCAATATGGTAACATATACACTGTGACAGGTTCTCTTTAATGGGACATTAGGAGCCTCCAGTGCAGCTCATGGAGCACAGATGACGCTGCATTAGCTCCTTCCCCGTCCACAGCATCCGGTGAAAGTGGCGACACAACCCGGAAATGACAAAAAACTCTCAGCACTTCCAGGTTCTTATTAACCAAGGGAGCTCAGCGAACATTCACTGGTGCCCCTCCCCCCCCCCCCCCGCCATCATCTGCCATGCTGGTCTGCAGGTGGCGTAGCATAGCCCAGCAATCATGGCGCGGAGATGGGAGCCGGGGGTGGACTGACCATTTGGAAACTCGGGCACTGCCTGAGGGCCCGGGGTCAGTAGGGGGCCCCATGAGATGCCCCTGGTACCTTTTTCATAGGGTTTTTTTGAGTTTGGGCAAGGACACAGGGGCCCCATGATCCCCTATTGCCTGGGGGCCCCATGAGTTGTCAGTCCGCCCCTGGATGGGAGGCAACCAGAAGCCAATAGTAGCAGCCCCCTCCTGCGCTGCAGACATAGGACTTACTGTACCATCAATGGCAGTGAAAGGGTTGATGGCGCCAATCAGATCTCTGCATAGATCCAGATGGCGGTTCCTTCCAGAATTCACCGAAACCATCAGCCGCAAAATATTTTTTGAAAAACAGGTGAAAAATGTCTTTTTTTATCAAACGATTTATTAAAATAAATATTTACACACAAAAATCCACATAAAATTTAAACAAAAGAACCTCGGAGGCGGAGTTACATGTCGGTACGGCGGGCGGGGGCGGGGCTCCTCTTCTCCTGCCGCTCCATACATTCCCTCAGCTTGTCCTCAGTCAGGGAAAGTCTCTGCTCCAGAATGGCCACCGTCTGCACAGAGAGGGAGAAGAACCATGAGAGGTCAGACTGGTCACATGACAAGGGATGACCAATGATATGGATTAGAGGGCGGAGTTTATATACTGGGAGCATCCTGGGGATTGGGGGGCCCCAGAGAGGTCAGTGTTAAACTCCAAAAAAAAAAAAAAAAAAAAAAAAAACACTTTCTTGCCATGCGCTGGATTCAGCTGAATGTTCGGGATGCCACGTCCGGAGGATTGCTGGGGCGCCACCAATCTCAGCTGCCGGATTTACAGTCGGCTTTTGATATTCCAGCTCAGCCAGAACATTCCACCGCTCCTATGAATCGCTTTCTCCCCACTGTGTTTATTCACTAAATATCTTGTATTCTTTTCTCGGAATAAAAGGTGTTCTATGATTGGGCAGAGCAGATGACAATCACACTCTTCCCTCATCCAATCACAGAACGCCTTGTACAAAGATGTTTTCTGAATGGATGAGGTGGAGACTCTCAGGAGCGGTGGCACAGCAGCTCTGTTGGAATATTAAAGTGGTTGTAAACCCTCCATATACCCAGTGAAGTGACTGGCCTCAGGTGAGACACAGAGATGAAACAGATCCTCCTACGTACGGTGTACCTGTTTATCTGCAGCCGTTCTCTACATCCATTCAAAGTGCTAAGCTGCATACTGTGTTTTTTACCTTTAATACAGAGAATGGATGAATGTAGTCATACTGGCGGCCATTCCACCAGGCCCCATGGTTGGTGTCGGCGGCCATTCCACCAGGCCCCATGGTTGGTGTCGGCGGCCATTCCACCAGGCCCCATGGTTAGTGTCGGCGGCCATTCCACCAGGCCCCGTGGTTTGTGTCTGTGGCCATTCCACCAGGCCCCGTGGTTAGTGTCTGTGGCCATTCCACCAGGCCCCGTGGTTGTGTCGGTGGCCATTCCACCAGGCCCCATGGTTTGTGTCTGTGGCCATTCCACCAGGCCCCATGGTTTGTGTTGGCGGCCATTCCACCAGGCCCCATGGTTAGTGTCGGTGGCCATTCCACCAGGCCCCGTGGTTTAGTGTCGGTGGCCATTCCACCAGGCCCCGTGGTTAGTGTCTGTGGCCATTCCACCAGGCCCCGTGGTTGTGTCGGCCGGCGGCCATTCCACCAGGCCCACTGTCGGCGGCCATTCCACCAGCGCCCCATGGTTAGGCCATTCCACCAGGCCCCGTGGTTGGTGTGGTGTCGGCGGTGTTAGTGCCGGTGGCCATTCCACCAGGCCCCGTGGTTGGTGTCGGCGGCCATTCCACCAGGCCCCGTGGTTAGTGTCGGCGGCCATTCCACCAGGCCCCGTGGTTAGTGTCGTGGCCATTCCACCAGGCCCCCATCCATCCACCAGGTGGTTAGTGGTCCACCAGGCCCCGTCGGCGGCCATTCCACCAGGCCCCATGGTTAGTGTCGGCGGCCATTCCACCAGGCCCCATGGTTAGCGTCGGCGGCCATTCCACCAGGCCCCATGGTTAGCGTCGGTGGCCATTCCACCAGGCCCCATGGTTAGTGTCGGTGGCCATTCCACCAGGCCCCATGGTTAGTGTCGGTGGCCATTCCACCAGGCCCCATGGTTAGTGTCGGTGGCCATTCCACCAGGCCCCATGGTTAGTGTCGGTGGCCATTCCACCAGGCCCCATGGTTAGTGTCGGTGGCCATTCCACCAGGCCCCATGGTTAGTGTCGGTGGCCATTCCACCAGGCCCCATGGTTAGTGTCGGTGGCCATTCCACCAGGCCCCATGGTTAGTGTCGGTGGCCCCGCTCATACTGGTGCTGTAGGTGTTTACCTGGGTGAGGATATCCAGCTGTCCCACAATGTGCTCCAGCGTGTTGGTGACGTTCTGGAGGTGGCTGGCCTCTCTCTGTACGTTGAGCCGGTCATCAGGATGAGGTCCGGGACTCGGACTTCTCTCTACGGTCACAATGTTGCCGGGAGCATCAAATTCACCGACCTGGAAATCAGCGATCAGGGAAAGACAAAGGGTTAAAGGGTGAGTTCACGTTTGGAACATGGAACATGTCCCCGATGCTGCAGCCGCTGCCCTCCTC